CATTAGTCTTTGCTCATTCAAAAATCTCAAACTTTTCTGATCTGTGTGGATTTCAAACATTCTTCCCAAGAGGTATGGCCTCCATTTTTGGACAGCTAATACTATAGCCATCAACTCCCTCTCATACACTGATTTATGCTGATTTCTCTGAGATAACTCCTTGCTCATATATGCAATGGGCCTTCCTTCCTGCATCAGTACAGCTCCCAGACCAGTCCCAGATGCATCAGTCTCTACTATAAACATTTTATCAAAATCTGGTGTTGCTAGTACTGGCAGGGTAGTCATAGTCCTCTTTAACTCCTCAAAAGCCTTGGTAGCTTCTGACCCCCACTGAAAACTATCTTTCTTCAACAATTGTGTTAGAGGTAGTGCAATCTTGCTATATCCCTGCACAAACTTTCTGTAATAACCTGTCAGTCCCAGAAATCCCCTCAACCCCTTCAAGTCCTTGGGTTCAGGCCACATTGTCATTGCCTCAATCTTTGTGGGGTCTGCAGCTACCCCCCCACCAGATATAATGTGACCCAAGTAAATTAATTTAGACTGTCCAAACGAACATTTCTTTGCATTAATCACCAACTGATTATCTTGTAAAGCCCCCAGAACCTTCCTCAAATGCTCTTGATGTTCCTCCACTGATCTACTGTAAACTAGGATATCATCAAAAAAAACCAATGCAAACTTCCTCAGAAATGGCCTCAACACTTGATTCATAAGGGCTTGAAAAGGTGATGGTGCATTTGTTAACCCAAAGGGCATTACCAAATACTCATAATGCCCCTCGTGAGTCCTGAATGCAGTTTTCTGCCTATCCTCCTCCTTCATTCTTATCTGGTGGTATCCAGATTTCAGATCCAGCTTAGAAAAAATGGTTGCCCCACCCAATTCATCCAAAAGTTCTTCAATGATGGGTATAGGATACTTATCAGGTATAGTAATTTTGTTGAGAGCCCTGTAGTCACCACAGAATCTCCACCCCCCATTCTTCTTCTTTGCCAGTAGAATAGGACTACTATAAGGGCTATTGCTGTGTTGAATTATACCCTCATTCAACATTTCTTTTATAATCCTTTCAATTTCTGTCTTCTGGTACTGTGGGTACCTATAAGGTCTGATATTAGGAATGCAAGCTCCCTCCTGAATGTGAATAGCATGATCACAACTTCTTCTTGGTGGCAATTGCTTCCTAGGTTGGACCACTTCTGGAAATTCATCCAATAATTGCTTCCAAGTGTCATCTTCTGCCTCCCCTTCCACTGAAACTACAGATATTCCTTCACAAAACACCAAGTATCCATCCCCTGCATCTTGTAATATTTGAGTCATGGTTGTCAGTGAGACTTCCAAAGAGTTTAACTGTGGATCCCCTTGTACCAACTGCTCCTGTCCCTGTTCCTTCCATCTTATAGTCTGCTTTTGGAAGTTGACTTCTACATCCCCCAAACTTGCCAACCACTCCATCCCCAGCACTACATCTGTTCCCCCCAGTTCCAAGATGTAAAAATCTTGTTGTATCACTGCTTTCTGTAAACACAGAGTTAACCCTTCACATCTGCCATTGTTAGCTATTCTATCTCCATTCCCTATCTGCACTTTATATCCCCTAATGGTTTGATAGGGTATTTTCAATTGATTTACCAACCCTTGTGATATGAAGTTGTGAGTGGCTCCACTATCAATCAATACATCCACTTCTTGTTCTCCTAGCTTCCATTTTAGGTAACCTTTCACTTTAAAAGCTCTCATGGAAGGAATGCCTTCCTTGCTCATCAATGATAGTTGCATGGATTTGGATTCCATTACAACCTCTTCCTCATCTGAACTGCTCCCATTTTCTTCCTCACATTCTGCCTCCTCCTCAGAATCTTCCACCAAAATGAGTTTGTAATTTTTTAATTTGCAGGTGTGTTCCCTACTCCATTTGTCCCCACACTTGAAACATAGACCCTTTTTACTCCTCTCCTGATACTCCTCCTGGGACAACTGAGGGCCCACCTTTTTTATTCCTGAAGGATGAATCTCTGTCACTCTGGCCCCCTTAGTATTGAACCAGGGCTGAGAATTTCTACTACCTGATCCATTCTTCTCACTGTTGTAAGTGCCAGCACTTCCAGATTTGGACTTGTACCCTTCTCCCCAGTTCTGAACCTTCAATGGTATGGGTCCTCTCTCCCTTCCCATGAATTTGTCATCCTCCTTTCTTTTAGAATAGACTGCCTCATTCTTCTGTTCAATCATTATGGCTCAATCCATGGTTTCAGTTAAGGATTTGGAAGCATACAGTTTCAATTCAGATTTCACTTCCTTCTTCAAACCTGTGATGAAAATCCCCTTCAGCAAATCTGTATCCATGTTCTGTTGTGGTGCCATCACCATTTCAAATTCCTCCCTATACTCCAGCACGGTCCCAGTTTGTTTCAGGCTCAGAATAGGTCCGTAAGGGTTCTGAATTAACTCCGGTTGAAATCTACGTATAATAGATTTCTTCAATGTCTCCCAGCTCGTTTCTTCAGTCTGATTTTCCCACAAGTGGAACCAATTCAAGGCTCTATCCTCCATAGTGACCATAGATGCCTCAACCTTTTCATCCTCGTCAATATTGTTCAATCGAAAATACCTTTCCATTCTAGTAATCCAGTTATAGGCTCCTTCCCCGTTAAACAATGGTAAATCTATCCTTCTACCATTACGTACAGGTATTCTCGAGTACACATCACTACGGCGATGATCGTTGATATTAGAGTGAACCGAGTTACCTCTGGAATGTACGGGGCTGATCGGCGATCGCGATCTCCCTCTGGCTCCCACTGTGGTCGCCAGTTTTTCATTCATCGCGGCCATAGATGCATTGATACTTTCCATCGCAGATCGCAACTCCAACTGTAACTCCGTACGTACTTCCAGAAGGTTGCGCTCCAATGAATCTACTCGATGCTCCATTTTAGCTCTAGTTCTGACCATCCACACCAGGAACGACTAATTTCTGAGGTTGCGACACAACTTCCGATCCACGCTGAGGTCACCAGGAACGAATTTGCTCTGATACCAATGATAGACACTGGTGATCAATTCAGAACAATAGAATACACACAATCAAAGTAGAACAGTATATATAATCGTTTATTGAATTCAGAAGAAATCCACAGAGGTATACGATCTCAGGGACCATTCGAGATGCCCAATCTCCAACTACTAGCCAACCAAATTCTCAGCTACCTTACTCCACTCTTCTACCTTCTATTTATAGTCACCCTTCACTTAAGGCATAACCGCCTAACTTACCCCTTATAAGAATCCCAACGGATTACTTATTCCTCCTTTTGTACACCTTATCAAAATATTTAATAGGCTGGGACACCTGCCTATCAGCAAAATCGAGAATGTTCTTCCCCGCTTCATTTCTAGTGCCAAAATCATGTCCGCCATGAATTCTCTCAAAACCATCACGACTTGGGCCCATATGCCCGTTGAGGTCGCATCCTATGACTAGCTTCTCTCCCCTTGGCACTCGTCACACCACTTCCTCAAGATCCTCCCAAAATTGTTGAGTGATAGATGCATCCAATCCCACTTGTGATGCATAGGCACTTACCACGGACATGATCTCATCTCCTATTATCAACTTAATGCTCATGATGCGGTTGTTCTTCCGGAAGACTTCCACCACACCCTCAACATAATCATGTGCCACCATAATACCTACTCCATTTATGTTCCTTTCTCTCCTCGAATACCACAACTTAAAACCTCCGAGATTAATCATTTAATCTCACATGCCTTTTCTCCAACCCACTTAGTTTCTTGCATACACATTATGCTGACATTCCTCCTTCTCATAACCTCAGCTATCTCAGATGATCTTCCCGTAAGAGAGCGAACATTCCATGTCCCAAAAGGCAATCTAGCACCCTGCATTTTCTCTTCTGATAGAGATTCTCCAGGTACACAGAAAATTAACAGAAAGATGGAACGCAAATCAAAGAAACAACAGCAAAACTTTATTATAGATGAACAAGAATTCTGACCGAAGCCCCCAAATGAGTCGAAGCCCCCCAAAAGAGAGAGAGAATCTCAATCTTCCCAAGTCCCAAGACTACATCTAAAACAACCTCCTCTCTACTTCTAGCTTTCTTCTATTTATAGCTATTCAGTACAACCAAATTAGTTAATAGCAATAACCGAACTAACTATCCACTGACTATTCTATTTACCAAGTATTATATGATCTAAGTATTTATTCTCTTTGTTTATTTCAGCTGCATTCCTATCATCTTCACACCACATCAACTCCCACCATGCCCTTGCATATTTGACACCATCCCCGGGCATTGGAGTGGTGCGTCGCTTCCGGGCGACGACCTAGCAACCTTAGCATTCTTATTACCACACCCAGTCCTATGAAGTGTAGCGTGCCCTTACACATTTGACACCACACCCAGGCGGAGGGATGACGCATCGCTTAAGAGTGATGACCTAGCTGTAGCGATATTCATATTTCGATTCATGTCATGTGATGTGACTAAGTGAGTAAGTGATACTGTTGGCCGTCACACGCCTACCACATCACCCTCCTCCTTTATCCTGGCTTGGGATAGGCATGATACCAAAAAATGATCTCATAGCGGAGTTGAAATTATGAATAGAAGAGGTAAATTTTAAACAACACAATTATTTCGTTAAAAGAAAAGATGAATGTTGGTTTGGGACAAATTAAATAGGAAAGAGGAACCTTTTGTCGTTTTGAGGGAGGGATTAGGGAGTACCTTTCCCCCTTTAATAAATTTACATAAATTTGAAATCCAACTAAATGAGAATACAACAACATCCAAGCCTAAATGAGAATCCAACTAAATGAGAATACAACTAAATGAGAATAGATTTAATAATTTTATTCTTTGAAGTGGGTTGTGAAATCTATCCCTTTATTCTCCTAATGGATCTAGTAAATCTTATTTTTAAGTCCTGGACTCGTAATTGATTTTGGGGGTTTAAATTAGGTTATTGCAGGTATTTGTGTTTTGGTTTGGGCTGTAAACATCGGTCATTTTAGTGATCCTGCCCATGGTGGTTTCCTCCGAGGTGCAATACACTACTTTAAGGTACGTTTGTTAATGCATTACGCCTGATTATATTATATTTTGTAAAATTGTAATTATGGCATTAATGAACAAGATTGCAGTGGAACTTCTGCCCTGCCTAGCTCAGGTTGTTTTGATTCATTTTGACACTCACACCTCTTTGGATATATGAAGTTTTGAGTTCGTGTGGCTAAAAATAGGAAATTTAAGTAGTGATATCTCACTCAATGTTCTTCAATATTCAAACTACAATGAAGTTAGCCCTAGTTTATGATGTATTGAATCATCCAATTCGGACCTCCACAAACTGCAGAAGGGTCATTCTGCTGCGGGAGTGGGAAATTTGGCCTGTACTGTTCCAATAAGAAGCCTATTCCTTTGAAGACAATGACCTAGTGAAACAACCACATTTCATGCACATTACTCTTCATTGTTCACAGTATCCTCTATTAACTATCTAACACTGAGGACATAATGATATGGAAAATATGGGCTCGTCACCGAACTATTTCTTAGAAAAACCAGAGGAGAAATTGTGTACAGTTCAAGTTAACTTTTCGTAAGCTAAATTAGGATGTTTTTACTTGGGCTGTAATTTGCTGGTCCGGTCTGGTCTGGTCTGGTCTGAACTTGTCTGGTCTGGTCTGGTTTCTTTGTATTTTTATAACTATCCAAATCTAGTCTGGTCTGAACTGGTCTGGTCTTGTCTGGTCTGGTCTGGTCTGGTCTGGGACGAATTACAGTCCAAGTAAAAACATCCTTAGTACAATCTCCATACCCCACAGCCATGACTTCACACATATAACTATCATAATTGAGGCCTTAGTCATATGTGAAAAAAGTACTGATCAAGGAACTACTAGAAAAGGCAAAAGTGCCAAGTCAAGGAACCACTGTCACAATTGAGGCCTTAGTCATATGTGAAAAAAGTACTGATCGAGGAACTACTGAAAAAGGCAAAAGTGCCAAGTCAGTCGACTTTTCAAAAATCTTTACGTAGTTAATAAAAGCCCCAGTGTTAGACTGATACACTGATACCTGTTGAACAAGTGAACAACTGAAGTTTGGATTACATTTACATAAATACAACCTTTTAGTCTTTTCAAGTGATTGGGAAGAGTAAGAGCCATATTTTGTTAAGTCAGAGTTGTAGCACACTAGCAAACCTTCAGTGGTCACAAACGTCTGCTCAAGGTAGCTTAATAACTACTTTTCAACACTACTAGGAATACCGTCATACAAATCATAAACATCATTATGGAGATTGAAATCATCATTATCTTGATAAATTTGCTGTCATACATGATCCCAAATTATTCTATCCTAATGGCTGCTAGCACCTATATCTATTTTGTATTGGGATTGGGACTTTTAGCAGAATATTTCAACTAATTGTAATACTGGTTTTTCACTTGCCTGCCAAGATTGCGGTCGCACTTGCTGTTGCTGCTATTCCTGAAGGACTTCCTGCAGTTGTCACAACGTGAGTACTGAACTTTAATTCCCATTATTTGGTGTTTTTATGTCGGTAAATGAAAATAGTGGCGTTCTTCACATACCCTACCTGCATCATTGCATGAGATGTCGTATTTTCAAATTGAGTACTCAATGCTGTTTTTTCAATAATTTGGACAGATGCCTTGCTCTTGGAACAAAAAGAATGGCTAGGTTAAATGCTATTGTCAGATCCCTACCATCAGTAGAAACTTTAGGCTGCACAACTGTGATTTGCAGTGATAAGACTGGCACTCTGACAACAAACATGATGTCTGTGTCTAAGGTGATAGCCTTACCAATTATAAGACATTCGTTCTTCATGATTCATAAAATTTCTCTCTAATGCGAACCTCCAAACATGCATTATTTTTATCCAACTCTTTTGATGTTTAACATCGTAACATGAGGCCTGTGTTCCATTGTCTTGAAATATTTTTCATATATTTTATTGAATGTGCTTCTCGGAAGTCGGACCTGTGGTGCTATGTATTTATGTGGTTATTTATCAAAAAGGATATCCATGAGCCACAGAAATGATGCGCTATTGTGGGATGATGTAGTTTTGTTTGCTATTTTCATTTCCTGTTCTTTTTCTTTTATGTGAAGTTGTGCACAACTGCACATTTTCCTTCTTTGTATAAATCTATAGTGTGACTTGTGTTAATGCCCTGTGGTGTTTCTTTCAGATTTGCGTGCTTCACACTAAGAATCACGGCCCAGATGCTATCGAGTACAGTGTTAGTGGTGCAACATATGCCCCTGAGGGTTTTGTAATTGACAACACAGGTGTCCAGGTGCTTATTTTTTAATATCTATAACCTTCATTATCTTAGGCAGCGTTTGCAAAACTTAAAAAAGTGCTTTTCAGCTTTTGGCTCGAAAAAGTTGATATCAGTGTTCTCAAGCGACAACTTTTGCTTAAATTAAGCACTTAGAAAGCTAAAGTTGGAAGCAGGTGGAGGGGTGCTTTAAACTGCTTTTCAGCCTATCATATAGTTGCATAATCATGAGCTTTCCAACATAAAATCACAACTTACAACTTTATAGCTTCTAAAAACGGTTACAATACTTATGTCGAGAAATAATGGGTTAAACCCAATAGAAATATGAAACCTAAAACAACCTAAACCTAATGAGAATAGTAAACTGTAATACTTGAATAGTGAGGATTACTCTTAATTTCTGTAAGTAAACATGTTTCTATACTTCAACACTCCTCAAGCTGGAGTTTCATATGCTCCATAAACCTAATGTCATTTTCATTTACCCCAGTGCCGCAAAGGCTCCCACCTAATGTGAATCGGAAAATTTAATACTTCTAAATTAAGGATTATTTTTATAATTTACTATATTTGTTAACTTTTTATCTTTTTTATCTTATCTTATCTTTTATCTTTCTTATCTTTTTATCTCCAATTTCATTTGTCGATTCATGTTAGCCGACCCCAAACTCTTTTGGGACTAAGGCTTGGATGTTGTTATTGTTGTAAACTTGTAACATATTTGTATACTTCAAATCTCCCCATCAAGTTTGAGTATCATATGCTCCAAGAATTATACAAAACATTAAACTTAAAACTTAGCGTTGCTTGAAACAAAGTAACCTTTAATTGCAAAAAGTCTTCATATGACAGTTCAATCCTGGTCTAGCCATGATAATTCCAACATTGATCTTATATATGCTGGATTTTGCGATGGAAATCACATCTTACTGTGGCAATTTTACATGTAAGATTCCAACATTGTTCTGGTGTATTCACAAGACTTCTACAGTAGTCACAAATGTGAGACGTACCACTGCTTTATCCTATCTACCTTCCATGCTACCATTATTTGTCTCACAACCACCACATGATTGGGATGAGGGCAGCAGGGTCAGTGGCGGTATCTGTTTGAGTGGGAGGCACTTGGAAAAGAAGAGAAATAGTGCATGGATTTTGTATTTTTATTTATTTTTTTATTTATATGTATAGTGTGGCTATCACACAGAGAAAGAGAAGATGCTAGGGTTTGCGTGGAATATTATAGGACTAGGTCCCAAGTACCATATATGATATAATAATTACTTTTATCTAAATAAAATTCACAACTTACAACTTTATAATTTATAATGACAATTACAGTGCTTATATAGAGATATAGGTGGGCCTAAACCCATTACTAATAAGAAATCTAACATCTTAACATAATCAGAATAGAAAAAACCATAGTACTTCTAGACCACAATTACTGTATTTCTGTGATTAAACGAGTTTATATATGATCAATTTGGAGTTTCCTTATTGTTAGAAATAATTTGATCATTTATTGCAAAAAAACGTAGAAAGTATTAATTTTTCTTGTCGTACAGAGGACATACTATTGAACAAAATATTAGGACATGATGACTTTTAAGTGTCTTCTGATAATTAATACTACATCATTGCGTGACTGTCTCCTATATTTTCCTATATTACAGCTTGAGATTCCTGCCCAATCTCCGTGTCTTCTTCATATAGCGATGTGTTCAGCTCTTTGCAATGAGTCTGTCTTACGATACAATCCTGAAAAGAAGGCTTATGAAAAAATTGGCGAGTCAACTGAAGTAGCCCTTCGTGTGTTGGCTGAAAAGGTTAGTTTTAATTATACAACTAGATAGTTGGCTTTAAGTTGTCAATGCATATACTTCAAATACTTTTGACAGTTGGAAAGAAAGAGTGAATGACAGAACCAACTGCAGTACTTCTCTAACTAATTTCTATCAGATTGGTCTTCCTGGTTTTGATTCTATGCCATCTGCATTAAATATGCTAAGCAAGCATGAGCGTGCATCCTATTGCAATCGTTATTGGGAAAGCCAATTTAAAAAGGTCTTTCTCTTTCTCTTTGCACTGGATAACCTTTTTTCCTTTTCATTTATTAAGTTTTTCAAAATCAAGCATGACCTGCACCATGTATCGCTTATTAGAATAAGCATGTATTGCTAAGGTCATATAGCATATATTTGCAAACTTATGGCTGAAATTATGATTCCTTTCAGGTATCCTCCTTGGATTTTTCTCGGGACCGTAAAATGATGAGTGTACTTTGCAGCAGAAAGCAGATGGATATTATGTTCTCAAAAGGTGCACCAGAAAGCATACTTTCTAGATGCACTGATATTCTCTGCAATGATGATGGCTCTACAATTCCTCTTTCTGCAAATATTAAGGCACAGTTAGAATCAAAGTTTGACAGGTTAAACTTATTCCCTATAAATGCTTTTGCATATCCTTTTGATGTGTATTAGATTTCTATAATCCATCAACACATTAACTGTTTAAGTTGTCTATTGTCTCTCTTTTCATGTGGAGATGCAAATAATTCTTTTGTTTCAGTTTTGCAGGAAAAGAAAGTCTAAGATGCCTGGCTCTAGCTTTGAAAAGGATTCCTGTTGGCCAACAGTCGCTCTCCTTTGATGATGAAAAAGACCTTACGTTTGTTGGATTGGTATGCTTACTCTTTTGTAGAATACTATTTATTATTTATTGTGATCTCCAATCATTGTAATTTACAGAATGTGCCACTGCTCACCTTTGGTTGAAGATCTGTACTCCACGTGTTAATTTTTTTGGGGTACAACTGTAGAGAATGTGGATTGAACTTGAGGCCTTGTACCTGAATTCGCAAGACTTATTTTTAAATGCATGAACATTAGGAATTGTATTCACTTAATAAATTACTACAGTACACACATTTATATGAGAGCTACACATACACATGACAATAAATTTCACGTCACGTTATATTTTGAATTCTTATACTATTCTCTAAAATCTAAATATGGACTAAATTATTAATGTGCTTGTTTATACTTAATGTGTTCTCAATTGCTACTGCTTTTTCATACTGCATTGATGTAAAACTGTTTATACTTAATGTGTTCTCAATTGCTACCGCTTTTTTTAAATTTCATCCTAAACTTTCACCATTTCAAAGGTTGGAATGCTTGATCCTCCAAGGGAGGAAGTGAGAAATGCAATCCTTTCATGTATAACTGCTGGTATACGTGTAATAGTTGTCACTGGAGATAACAAGGTAAGACAAAGGTTTATCATTTGTAGAATTATGTGTTTTGATAATGTTATTTACTTTTTTTAAGATAATAGTTGCTTCATTAGTTATTTGCACTATACTCTTAGGTCACAGCAGAATCACTGTGCCGAAAGATTGGTGCTTTTGACCGCTTTGGAGATTTTGATGGTCTATCTTATACTGCTAGCCAGTTTGAAGAACTACCAGCATCGCAAAAGATTGTGGCATTGCAAAGAATGACACTTCTGTCCAGGTGAATCGTGATTGTCCCCCCAACATTTTGGTGTTGGGAAATTTGATGTGTTGGTATGTTTAACTATTGGTAAATTTCCCAAAGTAGGAGTAAAGACATGGTGGTTTCCCAGATCTGGATTAGAGTACTGTCAAACTGAAATCATACTGCCGTATTTTGGCATTATTAGACATTAAAATGAAAGAATTACTGCCATAATATGGCTTATTGTTTCACGATGACATAAGTTAATTTTACAACAACATCCAACCCTTAGTCCCAAAAGATTTTGGGGTCAGCTAACATGAATCGATACATGATATCACAACCAAAAAGAATCGAAAGATAAGAAAGATAAAAAGATAAGCTATGATAAAAAAAGATAATATAAAAAGAGATGGATATACATAAAATGATAGAATGATAAAAAGAATATTTATATATATAAAGATTAAAGGATTAAAAAAACAAGAGAAAGAAGATGAGGGGGAAAAGATGACAAGAGATCACTCCTCGACACGAATACCCGCCCTCCACTTTGCTCTCTCCAAAGCCATACACTCATCCAACCCAAGAAGAAGCATATGACTTCTGACTCCTCTAATCCACGTCTGTTGGGCCTTCCTCTCCCTCTCTTCCCTGCCTCGTCTCCACACATCTCAACTCGTCTGATAGGTGCATCACTCGGTCTTCTACGCACTTGACCAAACCACTGCACATATGTTATTCTAATTTAGGAAAGAAGCACAGTACGATTTAGGCCAAATTGTTTTTACTCCTATTTAGGGCCATTCTTTTAACTTTTACTCCTACTATATTGTTTATATGTGTGTGCCTACAGTATCGGAGAAATAAGGATGATATCAAAGCTTAAGATACTTCCTGAGGATGACAAATGTTTATTTTGCTAGGGTTGAGCCATCTCATAAAAGGATGCTAGTTGAAGCCTTACAGAATCAAAGTGAAGTGGTAGGCCACATATCTTTCTTTTGATTTCTACTTATTTTTCTTTTTATCCTCTTTATCTTATCATTTTTATCTTTATCTCATACGAAATATTTATCTTATCCTTTTTTATCTTCATCTTTATCTTATCCTTTTTTTAATCTTACCTTACTTTTTCTCTCTTATCTTTCTTTTCTTTTTTACTCCGGTATCATGTATGGATTCATGTTAGCCGACTCCAAAATCTTTTGGGACTAAGACTTGGATGTTGTTGTACTCAATGTACTGTAGATATTTCTTCTTCTAGACTCGATTTGTATATTGCCTTGTGTATGCGTGAATACTTCTTCGCTACCTCCTGAACTTTGATTATAGTCTTATTGTGTACATGAGTGAGCTGTGGAAGCAAACCGTCCTAACACCAATACACCAAGGATATTGCTGCATTCACAACAAGCAAACCTGTGCTTGCTTTGTGTTTCATTGATATAGACGTTTGTGGAAAACCATGTATATACACATCATGAGGCAGATGAGGAAGTCTGGAAGAAGAAGAATAACCTAGTAATTCAATGTAGATGGTAGAATTCTTTAGGAATAAACCCCCCTATAAGATGGTTGCAAAAATGCACCTCAAGGCTCCAAGAAAGAATTAAATCATTAAATTCATAATTCACCTTTTTAAAATGTGATGGAATAAAGCGAAATGGCTCACTAAACTGTCTGCGTTTCTTTATTATGAAGCGGCGGTCAGTCCATGCAATTTTTGACACGATTTTCACTATGGGTCATCCAAAAATAGTCTCTTTGTGCTTTAGTACAAGGGTAAGACTGCGTACATCTGACCCCCCTACCCCACCATAGGTGGGAGCCTTTGCGGCCCTGGGGTAATGATGATGATGATGATGACCTTTTTAAAATGTGAAAGGCAAAAAGGTATATGGTCTCAAACTTGTTAATACTTATCCGTCAATTCTTCAGATCAAAAGTCAAATTCAGGAAACTACCCGTGGGATGACAGGTAAGAAAACAGGACTTCAATAACGGGAAGCCTAGGTCACATTGACATCCCCACAATGCGAGGGTCCGGGGAAGGGTCCTAGGCTTTCACCACAAGGATGTATACGGGCTAGCCTTCCCTTGTTATTTTGACAATAGACCGCTCCCAAGACTTGAAACCGTGACCATCTCGGTCACACAGCAACACTGTTACCAGTGCACCCAGGCTCCCCTTCAATATAGGACTTCAATCTCACAAGAAAAACACTACGCTCCTTACTGTCAGACCTAAGATAATCATAAAGTTGTTACATATCTACGGATCTACCACAACACCTGAATTAAAAAATTAAAGTAATTCTAAACCTAATTTGCTATCTCTATTTTGAGCTATGCTACTGATAGCTTCAAGTCTTCAACCAATTTTGTGTGATACTGGTAATGTTCTATTCCCAGGATCTCATCTTAGTAGCTTGACTTCAACCTGTAGGGTGGACCAGACTGGTTGACACTTAAACCAATTTGCCATGTTTCATCTTGTTTCCCTTTATATATTTACCAAGTTCTTGTTGGTTTTCATTGGTTTGAGCCATTTGACTAATTTGTCCCTTCTCATTTAACTTTCCAATTCGGTAACATGATTGTGATTGTGTAACTTAGTAAATGATTCCAGCTATGAGTGCATTCAGTTCCATACTTCCATGTATGTGAGAGCAGCTTAGATCTGTGAGTAGTTTTGTTTGGGTTTAATTCTTCAATATTCTAAAACGACTATTCTTCATCGGCATTTATTTCTAAGGTTGCAATGACTGGGGATGGAGTCAATGATGCACCTGCCCTTAAGAAAGCGGACATTGGGATTGCCATGGGATCAGGAACAGCTGTTGCAAAGGTATTCTGTTTTTAGCATTTAAAAGTACACAAGCCTGATCATGGTCCTTATATAATTTGGTACTCCAGTAAGTTGGGGATGTGATGTACTAGTCGAAATTTCCCCAATCTTGTTGGACCTTTCAAAAGGAGCATTATGATCATGTTACCAATCATTAGAATTCAAGTAAAACCTTTGACTTACTGCCATAGATGGTTATTACTTCCAAAGTAATGTATAATAGACTAATACTCAAACACCCTACATATGACGTGCAAATGAACTTTTCATGTAGTATGGAACTGAATGACTGAAGGCTGTGACGTTTTTGGGTTCATAAGTTTCTGCATGTTATAGTCTTATTAAGCCATAAAGATGTCTTGATAACCCTTATTATAAGGATGCCGTGGCAGCCTTTTCCCCCCTTTTTGCTTGTTACTGATAATATTCAGCATAATTTACGCGTCGCTCAAGTTGTGATCATGTTCAATCATCCAACATTTGTGCTATGTTTTGGACTACCAGAGTGCTTCAGATATGGTTTTGGCTGATGACAATTTTGCATCAATCGTTGCGGTAAAATTTCTATATGCTCATAATTCTGGAGGGTTACCTATTGAATGTTCTGTTTTTTCGCAATAATCTTTCTACTCTATGCAGGCTGTTGCAGAGGGTAGGGCTATATACAACAACACGAAGCAGTTCATCAGATACATGATATCTTCAAATATTGGTGAAGTAGTGTGCATTTTTGTTGCGGCTATGCTTGGAATACCTGACACACTTGCACCAGTGAGTCTTTCTTTGAAGATGATACATCCTTTCGCATTTAGTTACTAACTACTAACAGTTTGTTTTCTTCTAAAGATAATTACTAATAAAAAAATTGTTATGAATTTGAAATTTGAATCACCTCTTTGAAAATAAGGAAATGTTGCGACATCTTTTCTCCTGTGGATCCTAGGAGATAATAGGCAATGAATATGTTATGAATTACTAACAGTGAGTCTTTGTTTGAAGATGATACATCCTTTCGCATTTAGTTACTAACTACTAACAGTTTGTTTTCTTCTAAAGATAATTACTAATAAAAAAATTGTTATGAATTTGAAATTTGAATCACCTCTTTGAAAATAAGGAAATGTTGCGACATCTTTTCTCCTGTGGATCCTAGGAGATAATAGGCAATGAATATGTGTATCTATCAAATGACATGTTTGGTGGAGTTCATGCTTTGAAATAGAAGAGTTCGTATAAAACTGTGTTTTATGTTAATGACGTTTTTACTTAAAATCATAGTCTTGTATAGTTGTATTTAACCTTCTTTAAATGTAGGAAAATATTTAGAATTTTAGAAGTGTCAATTGTATCATAATGCATTGTACTCCGTATGTTTAATGTGAAAAAATGTAAGCCTTTGTGTGAAAAAGAAAAGCTTTACTGATATAAAAGTCTTCCATTTGTTTATTTAGTATGGTTAGAAAAATGTTATGTAAGGTTGTATTTGCACGGATTCTTTTAGAATGAACATGACGAAACACGCATAAAACTTGTGCATAACTTTTAGATTATAAAAGTATAAGATACAAGTGAATACATGATTTATTCTGATGAGTGTTTCATCTGCACCGTTAGGGAAACTGAACACAAGAAATGACATAACATTTTACATGACATTCAAGTGTAAAATCTGTATGCCGATTTGGCTATTTTGCATAAGCAAATGTGAAGTAAATTGCCCTGCATTATGAAACAAAGCTTATTTGAAGCTCTTGCCTGCAAAGTGCATTACTACTATCTAGTAAAAAACGTTTTTCTCAACATTTAGTGAATGGCTTAGATTGTAGCTTCTTTTTGGGCTAGTAGATAAGCTCCACAGTAAGATAGACATGACTAGCACTTAGCTGGTCTTGTCTTCTGCTATTTGAAACTTGTTTCATTGTATTTGGCATGGGATGTGCCATGGTCATTTGTGTTACGGAAGTTGAATTTAGAAAAATATTGAATGAGAAATAACACCTTTAAGTCTTTAACCTACAGTGGGTTTGTGGTCTGTGCAACTGAAATTACTTCTGAATAAGTATTGCTGGATTGGCTCCGATCAGTCTTTTTCCGATTCACTTTCAGCTATGCAAATTGACTTGCTACTATCATAGAGCAACTAAAGCTGATTAAATGTATAAGGGTATATTTTGTTAATTTGCAGGTCCAGTTGCTGTGGGTAAATTTGGTTACTGATGGCTTGCCTGCCACTGCTATTGGATTCAATAAGCAAGACTCAGATGTTATGAAGACTAAACCTCGCAAGGTGTTCCCTTACGTTGTTTACTCCGGCCATGGGGGATCTAGCACCTAGATTTTGGGTTGTTCAATTTTGTTTTACAATTAAAGTATGGAATAACAGTATTTTTATTTATTTGCGCATGGATCAAAGTACATTAAATTATACACAAATTCTACACATGTATCTTTACATTTTTTTTTGAAATTTTGGATGTTCGTATTAACACTTTGGAAGTTGAGTAGCTCCGCCACTGTACACCAGCTGGATTTAATATTGCTTCTTTTGGCTTTTTCGTGTCTGCCGTGTTTGCGCTTCTACTAGTTTGATTTTAAAGTAATCATTGATAACACAAAGCCTTTCAAAAGGCTTTATTTCCATAGTTCATTTGATTCAAATGAATAACATGTTTTCTGTTTTAAGTACATGCTAACTTTCATTCTTTCACCTGTTACAATGACAGGTTAATGAAGCAGTTGTTAGTGGCTGGCTGTTCTTTCGGTATCTTGTTATTGGAGGTAATATAGGTGCAATGGGCACTTGAAACTGTATTTTATACCCCTCTCCGTTTCATTTCAAAGTTCTCATACACTATTTCCCCCGTCAAATTAACTCTATTATTCCCCGTGTATATAATAAGCTTTATCATTTTTGAATTTATATTTTGCGATTTTGTAGAAATTCTAATGTAGTTATACAACAACATCCAAGCCTTAATCCCAAAAGATTTTGGGGTCGGCTAACATGAATCGATAAATGATATTAGAACCAAAAGGAAAAGAAAGATAAAAAAGAGATAGGATATACATATAAAAATAGAATAAAAAGGATAAAAAAGTGTGTGTGTGTGTGTATAAAAACTAATCTTCCTGTCCGGCCAAGCCGGACAGGAGCCTTCTCCGGCCACCTCCATTTGAGGCGGTTCCCGGTAGTATTTCTGCTCAATTTTTTTGCGTATGTTTCTCATCAAGGCTAGTTCATCCATACCAAATTTCAGAAAAAAATTCAACCGGGAAGGTCGTCAAATGATTTTTGCATGATAACTGGTCCGGAATATACATATAAAACGCAGTTATCATGCAAAAATCATTTGACGACCTTCCCGATTGAATCTTTTGCTGAAATTTCGTATGGATGAACTAGACTTGATGAGGAACATACACAAAAAATTTGAGAAAAAAATACCACCGGGAACCACCTCAAATGGAGGTGGCCGGAGGAGCCTCCTGTTCGGCCTGACCGAACAAGAATGTTACTCATATATATATATATATATATATATATATATATATATATATATGGAACGGTTCCAATGAGAACCACACTTAACGTGAGAACCATGCACTTTTAACACAATTTGGTTCACTATGAGATTCGCCTATTACACTTTTTAAACATTGATCCAAACATGCCAACATCAAATAAATGTGGTGGCAGATTTATAAATATTTCGTCAAAACGAAAATGTGCAACGTATACACGCTATAGTGCATCACATTTGTTTAAAAGTGGAGTTCTCACGTTAAGCATGGTTCTAATTTGATACTAAATCTCTCTCTCTCTATATACGTGAGGACAAAAAGAAACACAAGAAAGAAAAAGAAGATGAGGAGAAAAAGATGATAAGATGAGGAGAAAAAGATGATAAGCCATCCACTTTGAACTCCCCAAATTCATTCCTCTATGTAGCACCGATACGGGTACGCGGAAACGGGTACGGGGACACGGCAAAACAAAAAAGTAGGATACGGGCCATATTTATAAATATTAAAAGTTATGGGGATGTATTTATAAATATTAAAAGTTATAGGGGTGTATTTATAAATATTAAAAATACAATTTTTTTTTGAAAAAATACACTTATATTATCCTCCGACGTCTACCCTCTCAGACCCCACTTTTTAAAACTAAGATATGAGATAAAATGTGAATTTTAAATCTAAGTATTTTGATATTTATACTCTACATAATAAAAAAAATTCTATTTAGGCTTATATGTTTATATATAATAATTTATATATATTTTATTATTTGATTTCTTTTTTATATTCCATATGTAATATTTTAAAGCCTCCCGAATGCTAGAATATAAAATTAAAATGTAAAATATTAATTTTAAGATATATAATAATTTATTAATACTTACTATACGAAATTCGAAAAAAATATAATATACGGAGTATAAAATAAAAGATATAGATTGAAATCTTAAATATAATATTTAGATTTAAAAACATAGATTTAATGCATAAATATAAAGTTCAAAATTATATTTATCTTTTGGATTTATGTTTTATTTTTTATTTATACTTCCTCCGTTCTTTTTCAGCTGCAACTTTCCATTTACACCTTTGTCAACGTGCGACTTTCATCATTGATATATTTCATTCCTTATTAGTAAAAGATTAAAAAATTCAGATTTTGAAAATATAAAACGAGATAAGTTTAACTATATTTTTCAAAAAATAAATTTCTTCTACATTAATAAATAAGATATACTCAAAGTAGAGTATGGGAATACTGTAAAATTCAACATGTTGAATCTATTTAAGAACAAATGTAGTATTTAACATGCAAACTTTAATTTTTGTATTTATTTATTATTTTTTCTAATTTTTATTTTGAACTCATTACAATGCTGACTCTTTTAAATGGCTTAAAGGGTGAATTGAACAACGTTGATTAACTCAGGGACTTATTTGAACATCTAGTTTCCACCTTAGATGCATGCTGCCAAGTGATGTGACGGGAAAAAAAATGGAATTTTAATCTTTTTTACTAGTTCAGGGTGCGAATTGGACCCTCTTTTGTTGAGAAACTGAATTGAGAAGACATGACAGGTATAGGGACCTATTTGACCCTTTAGCCTATATTTTACACTTATTTGACCCGTCAGCCTATATTTTACAGGGAAGAGGTAATTTGTTGTCAATCAACCATCATAAACTGCACAGAGAACCTTGATATGGGACATAGAGAGTACAGTTTGTTTGGTGGTCCGACATTGTTTAACCGACAATATTGAAGTGTGAAAGAAAAAAAAAGCAATTCCTAGGAAGTACATTTCAAATTGAACTCTATCTAACTGCTTTCATTGCAGTTTGTATAGTCTCCCCATCATGTTACTTAGCTCTTGCTCACTTGCTACTTACTGATTGGATAGTGATTCTTATTGATCTTCATCGCGGGGTTTTTCTGTCATACTATCCGTACTCCCACTAATGAAGTTAGAACGTGTATTTTTTTTACATAACACTCCTTAAAACCTTATTGCTTGTCTGTATTAGATTATAGATACAAATTCCAGGTGCTTTATGCCCTTATAATAAATGAATTAGACTAGCCACTATTGCAGGATTCTTTTTATTGGCATATATCAACAAATTTCAATTTATGCAGCGTATGTTGGACTAGCCACTATTGCGGGATTCATATGGTGGTTTATTTATTATGATAATGGGCCTAAACTTCCATATGGTGAATTGGTAAGTTTTCATCAGTCTGACTTTATTGTTTAGTAGGTGGCAACTCGTTTGGAGGATATCTAGATGTCCTTGAGTAGTACCTCATAATGCTAATATTTGCATTGTTTAACTGCAGATGAAGTTTGACAGCTGCTCAATGAGGGAAACTAGCTATTCTTGCAGCATATTTAGTGATCGGCACCCATCTACCATTTCAATGACAGTGCTTGTTGTTGTTGAGATGTTCAATGCACTAAATAATCTTAGTGAAAATCAATCCCTGCTGTGAGTACTTAACAGTTAGATTCAACCAACTTCTTTTCTTTCCTTATTTTTAAAAGTTATTCACTATTTTCTTTACCTATAGGTTTCTATGTTTTTTTAATAGTCGCCTTAATCTCATCTATGTTGGCAATTCACATTTATATTATCAATGAATTTTCCAAAAACCAGTTAACAATAAATTAATTCAAATGCATAGTGGGAATATCTTACCAAGTATATTTCTCCTGTCATGACCTTCTTACAAAGGAATAATGAGATAAATTCTAAAATCATCATCATTATTAGTTTTTCTGACTTGCAAGAAAGATTTCACGAGCTGGTGGTGACTCGAGATAGTTTTTGTTGTAAAGTGCTAATGTCCCATTGGCCATTGCAAGATTGGACATTGTAAAATCACCATGAACGTCAAGGAACATGTGTATTTCTAGTTGAAAATTGCTTATTAACTCTGCTCCCCCTGAAATTTTAGTGCCATCCCCCCGTGGAGTAATTTGTGGCTTGTTGCTTCGATTGTTCTGACAATGCTGCTTCATGCACTCATTCTGTATGTGCAACCATTATCTGTTCTCTTCTCTGTAAGTTGAAATCTTTTTCATAAATAACAGTTTGGTTTCTTTAATACGTTCAGTTAGTGTTGTGTTTATGTTTAAAACAAGTTAAAGGTGATTATCTACATTTGATGTAGGTCACACCACTTAGTTGGACGGAATGGACCGCTGTGTTATATCTTTCTTTTCCTGTAAGTCTTTCCGAACTGATTATCAATCATTTGTTACTTGTTGATACCTTGAAAGTCTACGCATAATTAGCCAATACTTCGTACTTGTTTTGATTATTTTAAGGAGTTGCATGTGATTAGTTCATCACAAAGTATGAGATTATTTCCATGATAAAATGAAAAGTAACTTTTGGGCGATGGACATTCTTCTGTAGGTGCATTTACTTATTAAAATTAGGGAAAATCGCACTTTTAGTCCCTGAAATAGTCACCATGTTGAAATGTCAGATCTGTATTTCTGAGATTGTAAATGTCATCCCTCAATTTTCCAAATTGTTGTTAATGTGGTCCTTTGAGGGGTGAAATGTACTCCTCGCTCACATTGTACATTTTACCCCTCAAAGGACCACATTTACAACAATTTGGACAATTGAGGGGTGATATTTATAAAATAGAGAACATGGGTCTGACATTTCAATATGGTGACTATTTCAGGGACTAAAAGTGCGATTTTCCCTTAAAATTATATTCTATAGAAAGATATAACCAACCACATATTTGTAGTAGTTTTCATTGATATTAATTCTACATTCCATAAAGACACCAGACACATGCATTTTTCTATATTCAGTTTAATATTTTCATTGAAAAAATATATCTATGGAGTTATATCCGCTGTTTCATTATCTAGGAAAACATCAAACAAGATATCATCAATGTTCCATTGATTCCACTACTTTTATTATTTGTGCGATACAGGTAATACTAATTGATGAGATACTAAAATTCTTCTCTAGGAATTCAGGTACTACTCGTATAATTTATCCTATATTGCTTGTTAATTTAATACTCCGTAATTTCTTTGCAATAATATTTCAGAACCTTGTTCCAGCTTTAGTTTGCATTCAATATTTTTAATCACAGAACCATTAAGTTGTTTATTATGTTTGGCTTTAGGTTAGTAAATTCATAAGTAATTATATATTATTTTTTCGAATTACGTATATTAAAATCTGTCAGCTTTATATACTATGACTACGATGAATTTGTACATTTGCCTAAGCTAAACTATATTTATGAATTTGTGTCCATCTTTTCCCCCTCAAAATTTATTTCTCAACAATTATCTTGTCAATTTCCTCCCTACATCCTTTTCCCCTAGTACTTCCCTGTTACAACAGACTCATAGTAATAGAGAAAAAATTACTTTATTGGTAAAAATCTAGGTTATTGCGTACACCATATTCATGTATTTATTCGGGAAAAGGTCTATTGCATTGTTCTAAATATGTACACCTAATAGGCTAATAGTTTTAAATGCCTGTGTTGTTTTCCTGCCTAATCCCAGCCAAGCTCGACATAGAAATCATGTATTCATGCCTAAGTACTATAGGGCTCATGTCAAAGATCTACCGGGCGCCTAGCATCGGCCTTCTTGTTTTATTCATAGAAGCTGATGTTTAGGTCATTATATGATAATAAGGATAGTTTCTATATATGTATGCTGGATAATATGGATGGTTTTTGCTTCAATGCCCCAGTCTTCTATTTTTCTCCAAAACTGCTTTGGTCTGATTGAATATTATTTACTGTGTCTAGGCACGAGATTCAAGCTTAGGTTCAGACGACGGCCAGATTTGCTGCCGAAGAGAGAAATTCGCGACAAGTGACAGAGGAAAGCTGACTGAAGTTTATGAACAATGAATGAAGTCATGAAGACCTCTCTCCATAGGACCATAGCTAAGTTATTGCACAAAGTTGATGCATGTATTCTTTTTTTACCTCTATATACCCTTTGGCATACAAGGTGTCCCTTGTAAAGTTATATCTATAGAGAGTATTTAATCGTTTGCACACTAAACTCTTCAGTTTTGCTACATTATTTTTGGATTACATGATCGTCATTATTCTTTTCTTTTTGCTAGAAAATGCTGCTTTCACCGAGTAAATTACTTCAGACATTTTAGTGACGTTCTCACTCAAACACTTGGCATATTGTTGAACCCACTTAAAAGCTGAATCCATACAACATGTCACACACATAAGATAAGCGTACCACAGTACCACTACAAGTGTTAAAAATATTTCATGGCACTCGATCCCTAGCCTATATTTGAATCAGAATGAAAACATTTTCTTGTGCATATTATTACTCTCTTTTTTGTCCAGGTAGATTGTCCACCCATCGGTGGGGTAAATGTCGGGGAATATTTACCAATTTTATTTGAATACTAAAAAAGTATACAAGAGAGGGGGACTAGACCGAAATCTCTCGGAGAATGTATTTATTTCCAGAATACATGAGAAAAATAAGTAAACGAAAAGAGAAGGTAAATAAAAACCCTATGAGGCTATGAGGGGAGGGGGGAGGGCCGAGGGGGGCTAGACTTGACCCATTAGGTAAACAAAACTTAAAATCTAAAATAAGTTTTGAAATCTAAAAGATTTAGTTAGGATTCTGCTGTAAAGTATGCGTGAATTGAATCAGTAAAAGGAAATGCAGAGGGCTTTGTGCAAATGATGAGTAACTGTTGGGAATATTTTATGGTGTTCAATCTAATATGTGTCACAAATGTATTTCAGCTATTAGCCCACTAGGATTAGGGGTGGATTCGGTTCGGGCCACCCGGCCCGTGACCCGGCCCGGCCCGGTACTGTACGGGCCCGGGACCGGCCCGGGCGGGCTCGGTGCTGGATTAATGTGACCCGGCCCGGCTAGGTCGGGCCCGGGTCCGGTCTTAATTTTAAAAAAAAAAATGGGTCTTGGGCTCTTGGCTAGTGGGCTACTAGCCATTGGGGGTGGGGTGGGGACAACCCAAACGGCTATATAGCCGTTGGGTGGGGTAAAGGGGGGGTCCGGGGGGTTGGGTGGTGTGGGGGGGGGGTGTGGGGGGGTGGGGGGTAAAAAAACCTATAAATACTCCTAATCTTAAACATTTTTTTCATATCTCTTCTCCAATTCTTCCTAAATTCTATTCTTAACTCTCTACTCTCTAATTCTCTTATTCTCCAGTCTCCAATATATTATATTTATTATTTATAGTTTATATTAATTATCTACTTATATAAACTATAAATAGATATAAATAGTATTATATTACTTATATTTGTTATCTAATTATATATTACTTATATATTTATTATATCTATTAATATAGTTGGAATTATATCTAATTAATTTGAAGTCATTCTATTACTCCCATCCGAAAGACCGAAAGTCCGAAAGAGGTACGAAATTATTCTATTATTTACACTTGTTTAATTACTAGTTAATTTGCTACATTTGACTCTTGTTTAATAGTTAGATAAATAGTTAATTAGTTTTTTACAATTTTTTATTAATTGCTACATTTGACTCTAGTTTAAAAAATATGTTGTGCACAAAACTAGTTAATTCACTACTTAATTTGCTATAACTCGAATTAATAGTTAGATAAATAGTTAATTAGTTTTTTACATTTTTTTATTAATTGCTACATTTGACTCTAGTTTAAAAAATATGTTGTACACAAAATTAGTTAATTCACTACATAATTTGCTATAACTCGAATTAATAGTTAGATAAATAGTTAATTTGTTTTTTACAATTTTTTATTAATTGCTACATTTGACTCTAGTTTAAAAAATATGTTGTACACAAAACTAGTTAATTCACTACTTAATTTGCTATAACTCGAATTAATAGTTAGATAAATAGTTAATTAGTGATTTACAATTTTTTATTAATTGCTACATTTGACTCTAGTTTAAAAAATATGTTGTACACAAAACTAAATTCACTACTTAATTTGCTATAACTCGAATTAATAGTTAGATAAATAGTTAATTAGTTTTTTACAATTTTTTATTAATTGCTACATTTGACTCTAGTTTAAAAAATATGTTGTACACAAAACTAGTTAATTCACTACTTAATTTGCTATAACTCGATTTAATAGTTACATAAATAGTTAATTAGTTTTTTACAATTTTTTATTAATCACTACATTTTTTAGATGGATCGTCCTAGATATTCGGTTGATATGGGTAACCTCGAGCGCAACCGAACGAAAGAGCTTGCGAGGAAGAGATCCCGCAAAGGTAAATCACATATCGGCTCTTCATCTCAAAGTCGAGATGATTTTGATACATGTTACGTAAGGAGGGATGGGGATGCGATGACCGACGAACAACTAGAACAAGAATTGCACCGACATAATTCCCGCTTTTTTCAAGACCGACCGAGGACCATTGACGAAGAAGAGCTCGAGGACGAGGACGACGATGTGGAGGAAGCAATTCCGGAGAGCCACGATGACGAGGAGGAGGAGGGTGGCGGCAGCCATGACGCCGACCAACCAGCCTCATCCCAAACAGGTACAAAAAAAAGTAAATCTGAATTAATGGCTAATAATTTTTCTAAGTGGAAGGACCCGAACACAGGGAATTGGATCGCAACTTGCAATTGGTGCAAGAAAAACTATAGTTTGGGGATTTCCGGCGGATACGGATCCGCCACAAGACACCTTAAGTCCAAACACCCGGTGGAGTATGCAAAATTAGGCGGCGGAACGGGGAAGCAAACGCAAATATCGAGGTTTGCAAATAACCAACAAGCTTTTGGTAATTTCTCATACAATGATGCACAAAATTTGACAGGTATGGCTAACTTACTTGTTGAAGAAAATTTGCCTTATTTGTTTTCTGAAAGTCTTGATTTTCGTGATTATGCACAAACTTGTTTAAATCCGCAATATAGAGGTTATAGTCGCAAAACGGTTAAGAAAGAAATTTCAAGGCTTTATGGTGCGGAAAAGGTAAGGTTACAAAATTATTTTGCAAACTTTGATGGACGTGTTACTGTATGTTCTGACATATGGGAGGATACTTATCATAATTTACATTATTTGGGTCTGACTGTACATTATATTGATAATGATTGGCATATGCATAAACGTGTTCTTGCTTTCCGTGAATTTAATGATCGTCACACCGCTGAACATATTTATATATTGATTGAACGTATTTTAATTGAGTATAATTTAATTGATAAGGTGTTTGCTATTGGTTTTGATAATGCTACTAATAATACTGCTGCTATTCCTAGATCGCGTGAATTGTGTGGTTCTACTTCTTTGATGGATAGATTTTTTCATCAACGATGTGCACGTGATGTTCTAAATTTATGTGTGCAAGATGGTCTAAAAGCGTTGGGAGCATCGTTGGAGGTAGTCAAGGGGGGAATTAGACGTATTTGGGGTAATGGACAACTTAGGAAAAAATGGCATGATTATTTGATAGAAAGAGGTGAGAGATATGTGACTTTTCCAAAAGATTTGTCTATTCGTTGGAATAGTACCTATAAGTTAATTGGAGTTCTTCTTAGATATAAACAACATTTTCCTGCTTTTATGAAACAATATGATAACTATATTATAAACTCGGCTGAGATCGACACCTGTGAAAAAATTTGTAATGCTTTGATATATTTTAATAATGCAACTGAAACTTTTAGTCATGTTTATAAACCTACATCGAACCTATTTATTCGTGAAGCTGTTAATCTCGCCGGTGCTTTTTCAAATTTTGAGAATGCTAATTATGTGAGTTATTTTGCTGGTTTTATGAAGGAAAAGTTTTTAAAATATTATTCACATATTCCGCATATTTATGGTATTGCATTTGTTCTCGATCCTCGTTTTGGACTTGGTTCTTTAGAAGAATGTTTGAATTATTATTATGCTGCTTTTTTTGGTCCATTGCCAATGTATGAGGACAACCCAATTGATCCGAAAAAAAGAATACAACGAGGTTAGTGATATATTTTATGCATTATTCAATGAGTTTCATGCACGATATGGTAATGCGCCCCCTCCCCCGACACAAACATCATCTAAAGGAAAATCAATTTTCAAATCTACGTTTGCCAATCTTATTAAAAAAACGAAATCAACTCCCGCTACACAACAAAGCACAATTAATGAGATTTCTTTGTATTTAACTTATGATGTTGATTTTGAAGAAGATGATGATTTTGACGTACTAAACTGGTGGAAGGGAAAAGAAAGAATGTTCCCGGTTTTAGCAAAGATGGCTAAGCAAGTGCTATCAATGCCGGTTTCAACGGTTGCCGTGGAACAAGAATTTAGTTCGGCCGGCAATGTTCTAACACAAACCAGAACGAGGTTGAGCGCTGAATCTCTTGAGATGTTTATATGCTACCACGATTGGTTGAAAGCAGCACGTAGAGCTCAAGAAATTGACATCACTCCATCCCAACACTTTATGGATGAATCTACAACAGAGGGTGGCTCTACCTATGCTGGAGATTCCGATTAAAAACAATTATAGTTCCTATTTAATTTTCAAATGTAGTTCCTATTTCATTTCAAATAAATGCACTTGAAGTTTGTTTTTTAATACTTGTATAAAACTATAAAGTATAAAATATAAATTAAAAAAAAAATATTTAACCGGCCCGGCGGGTGGCCCGACCCGTGACCCGGGCGGGTGGCCCGGCCCGAACCGGACCCGTCCAACCCTCGGGCCGGTCCCGGGCCCATGTGATACGAACCGGCGGCCCGACCGGGCCTAGGCCCGGCCCGGGCCCGACCCGGCCCGAATCCATCCCTAACTAGGATGCTAACTTAAGCAAACCCTAAGTCTTGGAGAAGACTCACGTAAGTCTCACAAGCCTCATGCACATTAATGCACATATCATTTTGTAAGGCTTTCACGGTATAAGGAAGAAGGAGTTCATCGTTCAAACTTCAAATATTGTTAAATCATTCTGTGATTCTCTGTTTCTATTATATTGTATGATTGTTGATTGATTTTGGGACTAACATTTGGTATCCGAGTCGAGGCGTGAAAAAGGTTGAATGTATCTGCGATTTTTCAAATCTAACGAAGAACGACTCTGCTTTTCTTCTGTTTTTTGTTTGATATAGAGATTTGCTCATGTAATCTTGTTTTTGGTCGAATCATTGTAAAAGTTATACTGTTAGAATCGTAATCACGAAACGATCAAGCAGTCGATCGTGGTTTTTGATTTTCGCAATTTTTCAGTTTAGAAGATCTCGATTAGGGATGGACTGGGTCGGGCCGAACCGGCCCGAAACCGAACCGGCCCGCTACTGTGCGGGCCCGGACCGGACTGGGACCGGTTGGCCGGTTCCGGGATTTTAACCCGTTTGGACGGGTCGGGCGGGCCGGGCTCGGGCCCAGTTTTGGGCGAACCGGCCCGGGCGGTTCGGGCCGGGCCCGGGTCTTTTTTTTTCCAATTTTTTTTCTTTTCCTAGGCTAGGGCTGGGTGTTTTGGGGAGGTTTGGGGGGTGGGGGTGAGGGGTGGGGTCGGGGGAAAACAAGAAAGCAAAAAAAAAAAGACATTGAACCGGGCCCGGCTCGGCCCGGGCCGGACCAGGTATCAACCCGGGCCGGTTCCGGGCCCATGGATTTGCAAAAAAAGCCCGCCCGGGCCCGGCCCGGAATCGGAACCGGACCGGCCCGGGTCCATCCCTAATCTCAATACTCAGATCTCGAGATCAAGTTTTTTATAGGCTGTGTTTAGTATTTCGAATTGAAATTTTCACAGGAGGATCTCGACATTCAGGACTAAAGGATACAACTTTCAGTTTTTGAAAAATCGAAATTTTTCATTTTGCAGGATCTCGATATTTTGAAGGATTTCGAGATTTCGGGATTTCGACATTTTAGGATTTCGAGATTTTGAGATTTCGATATTTTAAGATTTCAACATTTTAGGATTTCGAGATTTTAAGATTTCGAGATTTCGACATTTTAAGATTTCGAGTTTTTGGGATTTCGACATTTTAAGATTTCGAATTTTCCACATTTTGAGATTTCGACATATTGGGTTTAAAAAAAATCGACATTTCGGGTTTAAAAAAAATGAAGGAATGAGGGGCAAAATTGTCTTTTGAGACCCGCCGAATTTTGCAGCACTCGTGTCCGCAGGTCACCCGCAAAGGGGGTGTGATTTTTCGATTTTGAACTGAAAGCCCGAAATCCCATGTGCACGAGAGCTCCCCTCTTCTCCTTCACCTTTTACTACTAAGGAAAGAGTGGTTTATATATAGGCTCAAAAGTTTCCAAGGAGTTTAGGTGTGGGATTTCTTAAAAGATTCCTTTTCTTCTTCTCTTGGATAAGTTCACTTTTTATAAAACTCTCACTTCAAGAGCTAAATTTGAGCCCATTTCAATTTTTGAGCTCAAATCTTCAACACCAAGAGTCAACCTTGAGATTAAAAAAAAATAAAAAAAAATCTCAAGGTTAAGACTATTTTTCTCAAGGACCAAGCTACATTTCAAGGTCCAGAAAATTGCAGAAACTTCAATCAACCTCACGTCTACGATCACCATTCATCAATCAACCATGAATACCTCAAGCTCATCATCATTGTGTAAGAACAAATGCGCTAAAGTTTCTGATGAGCCTGAGGTCAGCACATCTGACAGTCAACATATTATCAAGGAATTGGAGGAGAGAGGTTAGCAAATAATCACAAGGTCCTATTGAAGCACCTGGATAAGACCGCCTCATTGAGTATTCAGTTGGAGAACTCCAAAGACACAGCTAAAGCGTTGACTCAGGAAACAGAGAAGCTATAATTGAAAATAGCTGATTTGACGAAGAGATTGCAAGATCGTGAGAAAGAGAAAAGCACAACAAAGGCTGATTGCGATTTTCTACAAAATAAAAGAAGCGCTCTCTATCAAAAAATTAAAGAACTTGAGGATCTGATTGCTAAGAGAGGACAATTAGAACAAGCTATTTTTCTAAATCAAAATAGTGATGACAGGTATTACAATCCTAGAGCTGGTCTTGGCGTGTCTAACCCATGTAATTTAAAGAAAGTTGATTGCATTCAACTTTATGACTTATATCACATGAGACAAGAATACTTTGACAAAATGAGTTTTCTGAATGAAGAAGAAAATGCTAGAGAAGAAGAAAAGAGAAATAACCCTAGAATTGAAACTTCATTCAGCTACCCCGACCTAAATGAGAGTTACAAAAATAAAGAACAAGTTTTTTCAATTGCTGACTGTGTGGATCCTTATGATCTTGTGAAGGAGGATGCACCAAACCAGACATCCCTTAGATCCCCCCTCCAACTATTGGAATTTCTAAGTTTGGAAAGGAACCCCGCATCTTTCCAATGGCTCAAAAATTAAAGGATTTGCAGAAAACTCTAGAAAATGAAAGAAAAAGTTTAAAAGAGGAAAGAGAACAACTCTTGAAAGAAATATCCTTGCTCAGAGCATCCTCTCAATCAAGCACATGCTCACAATCTTCTTCTCCTCCGTCATCTGAGAACCATTCTGAATATTCAACACATGATCCTGAAACTTCCATTTCTCACTCTGAGCCACCTTCACCAATGAGGGCTCCTGTGAAGAGGATAGTGGAAAGAAGAGGAGAATGGATATAGGACAAGTTAAGAAGAAAAAAGAAGGAAGAAGAATCTCGTCGGAGGGATAGGAACTGATGTTCAAGCGCTCTGTTTTATGCCAAGAAAAAGACATCCGCTAAGAATCATCATTTGAGCTCTTCTTCTCCAAATTGGATTAAGCCAATAAAAGTCCGCTGCTCTAAGTCTGAGGCCTCCTCCAACCAACTCAAGTGTGTGAATGTTCAGCAAAACCCAAAGAAGTCCACTTCCGCAAAGGTGAACATTGGTGGGAAGTATAAATTACTATGCTTGAAGTATCCCCTCAAGGTTCACTCACTCAAACATTTGAGAAGACTCTCTAAAGAACCATTTCTCAAAGACTATTTGTCTGATCATTCCCTCACTGATAGTGAAACCTCTCCTGCTCTCAAGCTCAGACAAAGATGGGTTCCTAAGGTTGAAGCTGAAAAACTAAGAATGTCAGACTCCTCTCAATCAGCTAGCCTAGGATCCCAAATCAAACAGAAAGTGCAACAGTTCTTTAATGTTGCAAAGGAAGGACCCATCTGGAAATGGGTACCAAAGAAGACCTAATCTGTTCCGTTGCGTCCGTCATGTGTGGTAACTGATCCGATTGCTCCACACACATGGCGGGTAAGAAGACGAGCTGTGAGCAATCAACAGGTGCACATTATGAAGGAGAGTATTGACATGTATACTCTCCACTGAGTTGAACATCATCAAATGCACACCCCAACACCAACACGTGCCAAGAACAAACAACAAGTGCATATTCTGAGGGGGGGTGTTTCTTTATCTCTCCTCCTGGTGCCCAACAATGAAGAAAGCACATTTCAAGGGAGAGTTTTCTACTTTACTCCCCGGGTGACAAACAAAACACTTGCAACTTCTAAGGGGGAGTTTCATTTTTCTCCTCGTGGTGCTAGAAAATGTAAAATGCAAGGATTCTTCTCAAGGATGCAAATTTTGAGGGGGAGTTTTCAATGTTCTCCTCCAAGCGTCAATCATCGTCAAAGGCATCTTACTGAGTGCTCCAGTTGAGGGGGAGTACAGAGAGAAAGCAAAACAACAAAGATAAATGAGATACAAGTCCCAATGGCTTAGTAAACCCAACCTAGCTTACCCAAGGGACAAAGCCGAGAGTGAGTGAGTAACTGAGTGAACACTATGAGAGTGAGGAAGCAGAAAGCTCAAGTGAGCAAGAGAACAATAATCATTGTCAAATGTGCGACCTCTTTTGTGCTATCAATTGAGAAAATTACTCCCAGCCACTCAAATACTCTGGACAATCCCCATAGGTTCAGGACTGAATTTATTCAGATCCTGGGTAGAAGTCGCTGCATTTTGTCCAAACGACGCATGCACAACCCTACCCAAGACCATTCACCTGTCTCCCAACAGACATGTGTTTAATCATATTTCACGGGGAACCTCATCTCTTATCACCGTCTCCTTCTGAGGTGACTGATACTGACTAAAGTGGCCCACAGCCCCACGCCACTGAACATTCATTGATCACGTCGTGTCTAGTAATCTCACTCCCAAATATTTTGAATTTTCTAGGACATAGACACTTTTTAGAGTCAGTTGCTGGTCTTCATGACCCGCGAGAACTTCCATAGGGCTCATCTACTATAGATGAAGACCAATGATTGGAAGGAAGTCTTGCTTTTGCAACACAGAAATCACCAACATGTTCAGGCCATCGCTTCTGAGTTTATCTCTATAGTGATGATAACGGGCGTCTACATGACCCCGGGGGCTACATTATCTTCGTCGATCTTTATGATCATGCCATAACAACCAGAGTGACATCTACTTTGGATGCCTCACAATACCTTGTTGGAGGTCCTGTTAGAGCTTTAATGCTTTTATCATTTTGCAAGCCACACATCAGTGTTTACATTGATGTTGTGTTAATGAAACATCTCAGTGTATCTGGTCTTATCATTTTAACTTTTTTTCTTTCTATTTTGTTACCCAAAATAAAAGAATAAAGACACGACGTCCCGATTCATCGGATCGTCATGAGGGGGAGAGTGGTCCACATGCTATTAACACTCAAGAAATCATTCTCGGACACTTCCTTTCTCCACAAAAAAACGACGACTCACTACTCTCTCTGATCATCAAAACTGCCAAGTCAGCTTCACATCAAACGGTCAGCTACGCTCACAAGTCAATCATCATTTTCCGTTGTGCAACCGATTGGTTCTCCTCAAAAGCATTCATTTCAAATAGTCAAAAAGACTACATTGTATAGGGGATAAAATCATGTACTCGTGCGCAAGAAGATCCACTTATTATGGGCCGGGTGCGCGCGAATATCCAACTCTTTTTAACATTTCTAACACTTAGGTTTTTTACTCACGTCACTTAATTTTCCACGCACTAAAATATCCTCTTCAATATCCTTTGGGAGAAGAATCGTCCTGAGAGCACTAACTCTAACTCCTAGATCGATCCATTGAGGATGCCCGGCTGCCTTACGTACTACATCTCCTTGACAAGTCTTTTTCTTGAGCTATTGCGCTTATTTCAGGTACTTTAATATGTCATTCATCTCCTCCCTAGGTCATCCTTCAATAACATCATCTAATTTGGTTTAGTTTTTTTTTTATATCAGAAATCATTTAGATCCACAAATTATCTTGTAGTTTTTTCTTTCATTTGTTGTTTCTGTAATTACTCAACTTTTCCTCATCGGTTGGGTTCGTCTGAAAATAAGGAAGCTCTTATTTCGCACCATTAAGAAGACGGATGAACAGAACTTCAGTGTATTGTTCATGAAAAAAATGAAACTCCTACTTCTTACCCTAACACCAGTTTGGAGTTACTATAATTTCTTGTCCTCTGTTTCATATTTATTCTAAAAGCACAACAAGCCCCTAATATATATGCCATTTTGAAAAGTATCAAAACTCGGAGGGTAACTCAAGTTTCAACTTTAATTTCTAGTTTTTTCTTCGAAAAAATAGCAAAAGGATATATTTATTGTTATACTAATAAAATAAGGGTATTTATGTTCCTTTTTCCTTTAAAAATAAACATGTGCTTAGTTACATTTCACTTACATTGGCTCCATAAATTGTTACTATAATTTCTTGTCATCTGTTTCATATTACTATAAGTGTTACATCTCTCTTACAGGAGATGTATGACCACTAACGAAAGGTCCTTTTGCCTAAGGCTCAATATGACTGGATTAACTTAAGATTCCAGGACTTTAAATCTATACGTGATTATAACTCTGCTATGTTCCAAATAACATCTAAACTAAAGTTATGTCGACAAAAAGTCATTGATGATGATATGTTAGAGAAAACCTTTTCCACTATGCATATCTCTAATATGTTGCTACAACAGCAATATAGGGAAAAAGGATTCAAAAAATACTCTGACTTGATATCAGTATTATTGGTAGCTGAGCAAAACATTGACCTTTTAATGAAGAACCACAACTTGAGGCCCACAGGGTCTAGTCCTTCTGTTTATGGTCCATCAAGGCATAATTTAACTACTGAATCAAACGCAACACACAGTGGCATTCGAAGACAATTTAAACGTGGGCACTTTATGTGTCATACTAACGAGCCTAACTGGGGATTTAAACAGGTCAATAGACCTCTTCATAAGGGCGAGGGCAAACAAAATGCCCATCAAATAAACCGCCCTCTAAAATCCTCGGGAAAGACGATTTGTTATAAGTGTGGCATGACGGGGCACTGGGCTAATAAATGTTGTACGGTTAACATATGGTGAAGTTATTACAAGCTTCCATGAATTTCAACAAAGATAAAAATGTAGAAGCTAATTTTGTCAAAGATGCAACTCCGCCTATGCCCATATTTGATGTGTCTGATTGCTCCATGGGATGATGCCATTATGGATGATGCTTTCGCCATAGAACAAAATGTTACAAAATAAAATATTAGACTCCATGTTGTAAAATACTAGTTTTATGTACTTTTTCTTTATTTTCCATTTATTTTGTTTTTAATAAATAAATGTGTGTAATATATGTACTTTTATGTTAAATAATTTGCATAATTTGTGATATCAAGCTTATGTTTATTTACATATATTGAAGATATATATGGATCACTCAAATGATAAAGAACTATGTCTTATAGACAACGCCACAACGCACATCATTTTGAGAAATAAAATATATTTTTCTCAAATGACTTTAGTTGAAGCTAAAGTCAATACAATATCAGGTGTTGCGAAACTCATTGAAGGCTCTGGGATAACATATGTTATGCTCCCTAACGGGACCAAAATAATTATAAATGTCTAAGTGAAATGTTTAAACAAATTTATTGACATAAGAGTGGTGATGTTTTGAAACTTGTTTCTATTCGATTTGTGTGTAGTTTTATCTGGGGTTTGTCTAATTGCATTTAACTTGTGATAAACATTAAGAACTTTTTTTTTGAAAATTAAACATCAAGAACTTTTACTCTTAACTTTTTAGTTTGCTAGAGATCTGCACGGTGTGGAATGGAAATGCACACATTTATAGAGGTACTGATTATACTTTAGTTTGCTAAGGGTTATGAAACTTGTTTCTATTCGATTTGCTAAGGGTTTGTTCGGTGGGTCGAGTTTCTGATGGGTTGTGATTATACTGTTTTGAAACTTGTTTCTATTCGATTTGCTAAGGGTTTGTTCGGTGGGTCGAGTTTCTGATGGGATGTGATTTCTTTGTTGATTTAACTTTATTCATTAGTATTAGAGCCTATTTCGTATTCAAATGTGGCTTATTCTTCTTATTTTAGTAGAATTAAAGCAAAATTAGAACTACTGAATTTGACTAAAATAGATTCATAGCAAATTTGATCATATCAGCCAAAAAACCCTACCCAAACAGGTTCTTAGAATTATTCTTCGGTAGATTCATACTTGAATAAGCTTTAATTTTTGTTTAAGTTTCTTTTGTATAGCTCTCAAACTTTGTTTGGAATTGCTACGTATTTCACTAATATAGAGAAGCTCTTTGTGATTAAGGCAATATGAAAGCTTGTTAGGGTTCCACAGCTATGTGATCTGTTCAATAGCCGGCTGCATAAGGGGGTGTGCCTTGAGGATGAAGGGATCTGGAGTATGTTGAAATTCTAATAGAGTTTGAGTCTTTTCTGCAAGATTTTGGAGGCAAGTACTTAAGTTCCTATTTCATATACAATAGCAGTCATTTTATGTATTTGTGTGTGTTGATGGAAATAAATTACGATTCTCTGGTTCCCTTTCTTCCTAGTTTTTCATTAAATAAAAATTATCTTGCTGTAAAATATTATATGACTTGTCATTTGTTAGTAGAGAGTCATTACCACAATAGCACAAACTATTGTGTTATTTGTTTAGACTTAGTAGTATGTAGTGATCAAAACCTTATATTCTCTCAAATTATCTTTATTATTAGTAGCTAGTTTTTTTTTGTAAGAGAATTATTCATTTTATAAAAAAAGACTTGTTCAGGGTGCTTGCCGCTAGCTGCTAAGCTTCGGGTTCGGAGAGTGGACCCATCGTGTCGCCGCACAGCGTCCGTGCCTTGAAGACCTGAATATTCGGATTTTCGCGATCACCATTCACCAACCAGGCGAACACCGCTTCCGCGCCTCACTCAGACACTCAACCAGAGCCAGGCAAAAAGAAACAATTTCACAATTCACAATCCCATGAAACTTTGAATCTTTGATTATTATTTTATTAAGTATTTTATTGGTTAACTGTTACTTGTTGTCTTGTTAGAATGTTAGTGATTTTAAATTTTTGCCGTTTAGCTTTTGTCAGTTGTGTTTAGTGCAGGGAGTTACAACAGACGGCAGTAAACTTGCATTAATACAGACATATCCTGATTTCATTTTATGATTTTTGAGTGAGTATTAATTTCATTTTTAGCATTAATCCCATTTTTCCATCAGTATGAATATGTGTGAAATTGTGAATATTAATCCCATTATTTAGTATTAATTCATAAGCTTGTTTTAGAATTAATCCCATTGTTCTTAATCTAAACATGAGGACCTTTTTCAGTATTGTGCAACTTTATCATACAGTGAGAACAATTATGAATTTTTGATTTATTTTTTGGATTTGAGTTGGATGAAAACTCCTTTTCTTGTACAATATTTGTAATATTATCTTTTATTTAATTTTTCAGTGCAATTTAATTTAATTGATACATACGACCCCCTTCCTACTGGACAGAAATGTTTGATCCTCCCATGTGTATATATATTAGAGGTTATTGTAGCTTACTATTACTACTATTATCATTACTACTGCTACTGTTACTATTAGAGTATTACTAATGTCCTTTAGTTGATCAAAGTGCATGACATATGATTCTTTGAGTAAGCATCACCTTCAGTAATGTTTCCTTTGTTTCCAGATATTATTTGTAAAAGATTATGTCTTTGCGTAGGCCACCCCTTCCACGGCTTCTCCTTAACAATGTAGGTTGCATGAGAAATGCACAACAAATTCTTCGTCATGTTAATGTTACGCTCCATGATGGTGGAGCTCTTGTATTGACGGGCACAAATGGTTCTGGAAAAACCACCTTTCTGCGCATGTTAGCCGGTTTCGCAAAACCATCTGCCGGTGAGATACTATGGAAAGGTCATGACATCACCAGTTCGGGTGTCTTTGAGCAATACAAACTTCAGCTCAACTGGCTTTCCCTTAAGGTGTGCTTTGATCTCTGAAAATGATAACAAAAGGAAAAAAACTAAGTAGATTGGTTGGGTTATATTTTATGATGGTTTAACCGTGGTAGGAAAATGCAAGGAAAACCGATAGCCAGTTTGATAGCAAAAATTTGTTATTCCTTTTGTCAACAGGATAAGTGCGCATTTGACTTATTTATCAGCATTACCAAATAGGATCTGAAGACTGAATATGAGTATCAATGAATTCTAATATAATACAGTATATTTTTAGCCTATAATTTCACCCCCCCCCCCCCTTTCCCACAATTTTCTTGCCTTCCAATTTTCGTCCATTCTAATTTCTTTCCTTCCGGTTTCCAATGACCCTCAAGGATGCTGTGAAGGAGAAGTTCACGGTCCTAGACAATGTTCAGTGGTTTGAAGTGCTTGAAGGGAAGCAGGGAAAGTCTTTGCCGGCTTTAGAGACTGTGGGGTTGGGGAGATTGGCAAATGAGAAGTCAAGAATGCTCTCCATGGGTCAAAGGAAAAGGTTACAACTTGCTAGGTTGTTGGCAATCGATAGGCCAATTTGGTTGCCTGATGAGCCTTCGGTGGCGTTGGATGATGATGGTGTGAAGATACTGGAGTCCATCATAGCCGATCACAGAAAGAAGGGCGGGATTGTCATTGTAGCCACACATCTACCCATTAAGATTGAGGACGCTATGCATTTGAGGTTGCCTCCCAGGTTCCCGCGAAGAATGACGTTGGTTGACATGCTCGATCGTGGTGGATTGGACTGATTCTACTCTTGTAGCTGTGGGAGCTGTTATGGAAAGGAAGCTATGCAACTTATGTTTGAGAGTTGAGACACCAGACTTACTATATTCCACACTGAAGGCTACGAAAACCTTGGTTTTTTCCATTATTTTATCTTATTGCACAGATGTATAAGGTGGTAAGAAAATTGCTTCCATGAAGTCCGTGATGACTTAAGGGGTAGTGATTAGGTATTTTGTGGGTGAGTTCGTGTATGGGGAGGAAAAAATATTTTTTGTTCGAAAGTATTCTAATAAATTATCATAAATTTTGTACTTTTATCATCACTCCGAACTCGTGCATATGATAGTATTTGTGAACTATTCACTGGTTAACTAATCATAGTTTTGATCTCTAATTTTATGAATCAGATTTGGTCATATTTAGTTTTTTTTTGAGAATGGTAATATATAGTTTCAGTTTTTGTTATTCAATTGAGCTTTTAATGTAATTTCTAGTTAAGTAAATTGTAGTTATCAACTCCAATGATCCAATCAAACAATGTAAACTTTACTATCTTAGCCTCTTAGGATTGGTTGAGTAATAGGGAGTACTTTTTACTTTTTGAAACGACACTTTGTTATGCATTGTTAGCCTCTTAGCCTCCAATGTCGTTTCAAAGCACACCTTCAGGGAAAGCCAGTTGAGCTGAAATTTGTATTGCTCAAAGATACCCGAACTGGTGATGTCATGACCTTTCCATAGTCTCTCACCAGCAGATGGTTTTGCGAAATCGGCTAACATGCGCTAGGGGTGGACTCGGGTCCGGGTCGGGTAACCACCGGGTCCGATCCGGGTCGGGGTCGGGGCCATTATCAATTTTTTCCCCTCTTCCTAATTAACCCCCCTCCCACCCCCAACCCCCCAAACTACTCCAAATGGCCCAAAATATCCAGCCCAACCCGAAAAAAAAAATTGAAAAAAAAATTAGTTTTGGCCCGAACCGGGCCCGGCCGGGTCGGGCCTTGTTTTGGGTGACCTGAGCCCGGACCGGAAAACCCATGGGTCGGGCCTACCCGGACCGGTCACTGACCGGGCCACCGGGTCGGGCCGGGCCAGAACAGTGCTGATTCCGGGCCGGTTCCGGGTCGGACCACCCGGCCCGAGTCCATCTATAACATGCGTAGAAAGGTGGTTTTTCCATAACCATTTGTGCCCATCAATACAAGAGCCCCACCGTCATGGAGAGTAACATTAACACGACGAAGAATTTGTTGTGCATTTCTCATGCAACCTACATTGTTAAGGAGAAGCCGTGGAAGGGGTGGCCTACGCAAAGACATAATCTTTTACAAATAATATCTGGAAACAAAGGAAACATTACTGAAGGTGATGCTTACTCAAAGAATCATATGTCATGCACTTTGATCAACATAAGGACATTAGTAATACTCTAATAGTAACAGCAGCAGTAGTAATGATAATAGTAGTAATAGTAAGCTACAATAACCTCTAAAATATATACACATGGGAGGATCTAACATTTCTGTCCAGTAGGAGGGGGTCGTATGTATCAATTAAATTCAATTGCACTGAAAAATTAAATAAAAAATAATATTACAAATATTGTACAAGAAAAGGAGTTTTCATCCAACTCAAATCCAAAAAATAAATAAAAAATTCATAATTGTTCTCACTGTATGATAAAGTTGCACAATACTGAAAAAGGTCCTCATGTTTAGATTAAGAACAACGTGATTAATTCTAAAACAAGCTTATGAATTAATACTAAATAATGGGATTAATATTCACAGTTTCACACCCATATTCATACTTATGGAAAAATGGGATTAATGCTAAAAATGAAATTAATACTCTCTCAAAAATCATAAAATGAAATCAGGATATGTCTGTGTTAATGCAAATTTGCAAATAAACTATAAGGCACTAGGCAGTAAACTTCACTGCCGTCTGTTGTAACTCCCTGCACTAAATACAACTGACAAAAGCTAAACGGTAAAAATTTAAAATCACTAACATTCTAACAAGACAACAAGTAACAATTAACCAATGAAATACTTAACCAAATAATAATCAAAGATTCAAAGTTCCATGGGATTGTGAATTGTGAAATTGTTTCTTTTTACCTGGCTCTGGCTGAGTGCCTGAGTGAGGCGCGGAGGCGACGAGTGCCGAAGCGGTGTTTGCCTGGTTGGTGAATGGTGATCGCGGAAATCCGAATATTCAGGCCTTCAGGACACGGTCGCTATGCGGCTGCGCGATGGACCGTGGACTGTTGCAGGGAGGCAGGGGAAGAAGGCGCCAGGCCGGTTGGAGTGGTGGGTAGCCAGGCGAAGTAGAAGGAAGATGCAAATATCAGATTATGCGAAGTGCATATATCATTTTTTCATTTGGGCCTCTTGTATTATCGTTGGCGGACGGCCTGTAAGCATTTAATTGGACCAAAATTTTATGGTCTCATCGTCTATTTGATTTGATCTAGTTTGATCTGAACAAGGTCTTATCTAGTCTGATATGGTCTGGTTTGATCTAGTCTGATAAATTTGGCAACTCTTAAAACATAAATTTTTAAAAAAATTATTTTTGAATTACTTTCTTTTTATAATGTTCCGAGTATGATTTTGATGTTGTAACGAGTCTCTAAACCGAAATCAAATATAACACGGAAAAAACGTACTCTCCCCGTATTTAAAAGTTTAATACATTTTCCTATTTGGGATGTATTTAAAAGTTTGCTACAGTTTCTCTTTTGGGTAAGTTTTTCTTTTAACAATACTCAATTACCCTTACTTTTTCTATTTTTTATTTTCTCTTTCTACGTTTGCACATTCTCTCCTATCTTTTCTACACTATTCATTCACATATTATTTTCCCATTAAATATTGTGCTAAACTCTAGTGTAGTGATCTTTTAAATACGGAAGAAGTAAACAAAAAAACAAAAATGGCACATGAAATACCTGCTTGGAATCATCATCTAGCCGTGGACCAATGAACTCGTGGGAGCCTGCACATCTCATTTAGAGCTCCTATACTATACACCCGGATGTAGGTACATCCGGTCCAATTAAAGAGAGAGTCCAATTAAGTAATGAAGCCTATAACAAAAGGCCCAATGTTATGTCACAGCAAGCGGAACTTCATCTCAATCTACCGCCGAACTCCATCTGCCGATTAGTCCCTTTGCGGATGAGGTATGAGTACAACAATAGTTGGCGCCGATGATCTGCTCCTTCGTCTCTATGGCTTCCAGTCCGCATAACAGTCACCTTCATCACACCTGGCCTACGAACGCGGCACCATCATCTTCTCCGGTAGTGCCCCAATTCTGACAACACTGATTTCTAGTTGCAATCGGTCATTTAATATGTTCGAAATCGGCACAAGCCTCCGATGGAATTAATGTGTGGTGATCACTGGTATCGTATTGCATAGAGTTTCTTTTCCTCAGATATATGCCAAACCAACAGCCTTCTGGTGAAACTTCTGACATGAGTTAAAGGCTTAGCTTCTCCTTGATCTCAGGATTATCCCTGCATAAGAAAAAGCCCATAAGAAAAGAGAGAGTCCAATTGTGTGGCATTTCTGTAATTTAAGCGAAAGGTCACGGTTTCCGCTAATGAGCAATATTGTACTTTTAGTGAGCATGTGACCTATTTTATTGAGTATTAGGAGGCTACATAACTTACTAATGAGCATTAATGAATTCGTTAGTTGCTTTGTTAGTTGAACATCACGACATTTTGATTGAGCATCAAACCTCCTCTATTGAGATCGATGAATATCAGGATTTCTGTTAAATGAGCATTATACCTATACAAATGAGCATATGTAACTTAGAAGATGAACATTGATATGAAAATGATAAATTTTGTTCGTTGAGCATCAAAACATTTTCAATGAGCATCAAACCTCCATTATTGAGTATTAGAATATGCTATTGAGTATCATGATTTGTGGTCTCGTGTCTATAATCAACTCGTATATAAATCTAATGTAATATGAGACTTTTGAAATATGCATTGTTAAAAATTTTAAAAATGAGCCTAACAAAAATACTAAATGAACATACATAACTTACAAAATGAGTATCCAAAATTCAAAAGCTCATTTGTGTACATTCATTTTTAGGCGTTTTACTCATTTGAATAATTGAATTTTAAGTAAAACTCATTTCTAATGTGTTCAGCGTATTAACATGTAAAGAAAAAGAAAGAAGTAAACAACAAATAAAGAAATGAAAAGAAGTAAAGAAAAAAGACAAAACAAAAGAAAGTAAAACCAACTAGCTAGCAGTAAAAGTAAAGGAAAAAAATAAAAAATAAGCATAAATGAGTATAAGTTGAGCATATGTAACTTACAAAATGAGCATTGATATTAAAATTATAAGTTTTTTAATTGAGCATCAAAACATTTTCATTGAACATCAAAAGTCACAAATTCTCAACAGAAAAAGAACAGGTACTCATTAAAAGTTCACTAATGTTCATTTAATAGAAATCGTGATTTTCATCTCAATAGAGGATGTTTGGTGGTCAACGAAAATGTCGTTATATTATACTAACGAGCTTTACGATTTTGATATCAATGAACATTTTGTAAGTCACGTATGATAATTTGGTACTGATGTTATGCTCATTTTAAAATGTCATATCAATGCATATTTCAAAAATATCATAGTATATTAAATTTGCATATTGAAATTCATAGGAGTCTATTAAAGATATAATTTTGAAATGTTTTCATAAAAGAAAAAATAAGAAAGAGAAAATTACTTAGATGATATGAAGCAGAGATCGTGATGCTCATTATTTGGTTTCTAATACTCAATAAAATAGGCCAGATGCTCAGTAAAAGTACACTAATGCTCATTTAACGGAAGCCGTGATTACAACTGGATGTATGATATACAGGGGCGGAGCCAGGAGGTGAGGGTAGGGGGGCAAAATGCTATTACATAATATACTCCTCTTAAAGTTTATTAAATTAGTATACCAATTTTTGCTTATAAATCTTTTATATTAGATACTTTAAGACGGATATCTCCGATACTACTCCATAAAATATTATTAATAATATATTTTTACATACGGAGTACCGAATATTATTTATGGGGTATTAATCACTTCTTCAAAATATAGTGTTGTTATAGATTATAATTTTCCAAAATGACTACTTATAGAATATATAATGTTTTTATACATATGATATTTTAATAAAGTATTGAAAAATTATAAATGTAGTACAGAGTATAACTATAAACATATTTCGAACTACTATATTACTACGGGAAATACAAATTGGGGGGGGGGGGGGGGGGGGGGGGCAAAAAATAAATTAAATGATATAGGCACTGGCTTTTAATGGCTACTAGCGAAT